ATGAACAGCAAACGGGACGAACCCCATAGTCACGAAGACCTGCTGTTGAAAAATAAAAACCGGCAACTCAAGCCGGCGAGAAGTTTACAGATAATGTTGATGAAACTAATTTCTCTGTGGTTTTCACTAGAGGATCTGTCACCTTTCTTGTAGACCGGTAATATGACCGATTCAAACCATTCCGTTGGAACCTTCTGCCTCTCCCATATTGAGTCCAAGAGATTCATCAACTCCAAAATTGAAACCAGACCTCCATCCTTTGAAGCCGATGGGGATGGCCCATCTTGGCCGGAAGCCTTTTTAGACAACGTATCTCCCTAGGAACCTCCATTTCAGAAGGACTTATGTCTACTGGCAGTAGATGCCTAAGCGATGTACGGGTACGTCGATGGAGGCCAGCTGAACTGAGCCTTGAAAGGTTCAGAATTTTACTGTGAATCAATATGCCATCAGACATCTTAATTACCTCATGCCTATTTTCCTTCATGACCCCGGGATCATCGTAACCAGTGGTTGAAGACACTGACCAATATGTCTGTGCCACAAGCGGTAGCACTTGTGCATCTACTCATTATCCTCAGTCTATATGAATTCGCTATCTTCCCGTTGATTTTACTTGCAACAGTCCATTTACTCTGGGGTTTTTTATACAAACGGGCATGCATGATACAGCAAACAAAACCGGAGCACGAAAGTGCATGGTTAATGGTTGTAAAAACAGAACTGAACTGTACTCATAATTTGGTGGAAAAGAGTGCAAATATTACTGAGGGCCGCAGCTTTTTCTATCTACACTTTCCTATACACCGCTTTTCGCAGTCATCCCTCAGGCTCGTTGACGAGCTGGACTTTGACGGCTTCGCGCGCTGGCATCAGGGGGATGGTTTAGCGGGAGTGAAACAAGGTACGCGAGGTCGATAAGACAAGTCGTTTGTGTTTTGACCGCGCCATTGACATTTGGATTGCCTCCTTCATTAACGTCCAGTATTCAGCGTTCGGTTGAACTGAGTGGCAGTCAGAGTTCCCCTTCAAAGGCCGATTGGCAACTATTGCTGATGTTGTATTGTGGGCATCCATTGCCGGTGGCTTCATTGTTTACCTAACGTAGGGAGAATGTGATTTGTAACAAAGCGTAGTCCGTGTCCACGAGTGTTGACCAATAAGATAGGCAATCTTCGAGTAATCCTCGCCAGCGGTAGCTGATGGCGATATGGTAGATTTGGGTCAATCGCTGCGAAGAGGTAGGGGATTTACAGTGTTTTTTCTTGTGCAAGAAGTGCGCTTGATAGAAACAATCCGTGGTCCGTGGAAGAGTTGAAGTGGGCAATTTCCGTTGTCCGTGCGGCTTTTTGAGATTGCATATGAACCCTCAAGAAGTCCTTCTCGACCATCCAGGTAGGCGACATGAGCACTGAAGTCTCTAGCTACAAATACGATGTATGTTGACTAAACACTTTGGAGCAGGATACGTATTGCGTATAGCCAACTGTCACTTGCCGCGGACCCCTTTATTCCAGTCGCTCCGGGCTGGAGGAAAACCCGTGAAGGAAAACACGACGTGAAGACAAGAGCGCCTTCCAGGTTCGGGTTCGAAGGACTACAACTGTTTGGAGACACTGAAAGGTATGAAAATGTTTAGTTGAGTCAAGTTTGTACAACCATTAACCATGCACCTTTGTGCGGTGGTTTTGGTTGCCCATTTGGATGAAGTCCAGGAGAAAGACAGGAAGGCTAAAGGTAGAGTCGAACAGAAAATGGATAGTTTCAGTGAATTAAGATTGAGAAGATGCACGAATGTCACTGGTTACGACACTCAGCTATATCACTCAGTGTCTCTGACCATCCGTTTCGCTCAACCAGAGGTCCACAGCCAGGGAACCTAACGGGACCTGTGACCCAGTATCCTGATTAGGGATTTCATACCCTCGTGCCAGGTCTTAGCTTGACCACCCTTGACCTTTTTCCACTCACTACCTGCCTCGGCAAATATCGCTTGCAACCGATTTTGTGACGGGGGTAACACGTAATTTATGGAAGCCGACCACTAGCTCCAGTGGGCGACCGCGGTTACTCAAAACTCTGTGCCTAACCTTAGCCTTGCTCGTCCGGCTGTTCCACTAGATTTGTGCAATGCTGCATGAACAGCGGTGTTCGAACACCGACAGTCCACCTTTATCCTGCCGCCTTAATGGTCACGTTTCTGCGCCATATAGCAGAATTGGCCAAACTATTGCAGCATACAATCGACCCTGCAGAGAACCGGATGTGGTGACGGCTCCACAAATGCCTCAAGTTGGCAAAGGCCAAACTAGCCTTTTGTATACGCGCCGACACTTCNATCTGTGATGCATCCACCAGGTGAGATATATCATTTGGAGGTGCAAAACGCATATCGAATATGGATACATTACCACTCAAACTATCCAGAAAAGCTTGCAACTTACTTGGATCTTGAACTGCATACTCTAGATCAAACAGCCTGCCATCTAGGAGTAAATCGATACCGCTATCCTCGCAAGAAGAGAGGGCTGTTTCAAGAATTATATCTATCACGAAGTTAAACAGAAACGGAGAAAGAGGGCAATCCTGTCGAACACCACTTTCCGTGGTGAACTCGGGTGAAAAAGTGCCGGAAGCTCGGATTCGGCTTCAGCCATTAGTATGAAGCGACTGTAACATTGAAATAAACTTCTCGGGCATACC